TTGCGCTCTTTTTAAAATTTGAGAAATAAAAGCCTCCAAATAGGGTTGCACAAAACCACTGCTCTAATAAGTCTATTATCTACATTAACATCATATCATCAATACCTTGTTCTGTAACTTCTGAACAGGTCTCCAGATTATATCGAGTGCAGCCTCGAAATCGATAAAGACTGCAAGTGCATAATGTCGACTATCCAATGAGTATTTAACAGATTGACTCGGAAAGATAACCTGTTGAGTTGTGCAGCAGCATTTTCTGAAGCTAGCTGAATAAAGTGTTTGTGCCAGTTAAGGTGAGTAACAATCATCCTCTCCTTGACCTTTGAAAGAATGCTTGCAAAAGTTAAGCCACTTAACAATTATTAAAGTCTCTCACAGGTTTGTTTGGTTTACGTACTGGAGTACGGAGTTACTATGAGTTATTTTTTTATTTTATAACCGTCGTTGAACATCTTACCCAAATTTGAGTTTACGACTAGCAATGTTCAACTCAGTAGTCTTGTAATTTTGAACTCAATCCAGAAGATAAGGGACCTGCTTGATAAAGTAGCTGGTGAAATTTGTCTTCATGCGGGGCTTTTTGATAGAACTAATTATCATTTACGTTACACGGAGGGGAAAACCATGGAAATCTCCCTCGGTTAGCCTGATGGCAAGGGAATTATATCCCATGATATGTCTTCTACGGAGGATATTTTACGTCGTCAGCAGTGTGGCCGGTGCAAGCCGAGTGTGGAAATTGTATCGACCGGCCGTCACTAGGATTCGAACCCGGATCACCTCATTCTATGCCCTGAGCTTTCACGGCTCTGGTTAAGAGTTACAAAACAATTTATGATATTGTTGAACCATGACATTTTCATCACTTGCAAGTTCCTTACCTGGTAAAATTTACGTAAAAATACGCCCAGTATGTAAAGAAATATCTCAAAATCGTAAGAAGTTGAGTCATATTTGCTCTCTCAATCTATATACATATCTTTTATGCATATAAAGATAGTAGTAAGAGGATATCCATCGTCTACCTACAAAATGTTTCGCTATCCATCATTATAATTAGTGATAGCTGATATATACTTAATGAATGAGCTAAGAATTCTCTTTTTCTTTCATAGACTCAATCAAAATACGCAGTAAAAATACAGTTTTTGCTTTTAATTAAAAATATTTGAAATAAATCTAGTAATCATTTTTATAGGAATCGAAACCAACAATTGTATATCATCATTAAAATGATTTACGTTCTAAAATAGCTTGTATTTGAATGCTGAATTTTCAAATCACGTTAATGCTTCAGTTAATGGAGATAAAAGATGGATTGATACATTAATGTTCCAAATTTATCTAATCCTCTAGAGTATTCAAATTTGCGGACTCATTATTGTTGGAAATAGTTTAATTACGGAACTAAAGTGTGTGACATTAGGAAGAGTTCAAGCTAATGTGAGACTGAAATCTTAGGAATAAAATTTTTGAAGAAAATTAACTCATTTTATTATCTGCTTATGGATTAAAAAGTTATTGGCTGTCTTATTAATGCCCATCAATAGGACTAATATGAAAAATCTAAGGAACTGATCTGAGTGTCACAATTAATTTTATAAATAATTTTTAAGAAATACAATATCTTTAGAATGCTTTAAATGATCTTTGAGTAACAGTCGTCCAAAATGCTCTCGAAAACTCACTTTTATAAAAAATTTTCAACATAAGTAAACACTGTTAGAAATTTCTCGGAAGAAATGGTTAAATAACAATTGATTGCATGGCTATTTTACCATATTTAATCAACACAGTCAAATTACCGTAAATGAACTGTTAAGTCAAACTGTTAAGTTTGAGAAAAACTGTTTATTAACTGCTTTCACCTAATACGGTTAAATAACCAGAATTTTATCGCACCAACTAGAACCACCTAATGAAGCTACTTAGTTCTTCGCTACTGCGTACATATCATAGCCGAGCGGGCTCATCTGTTAATCTCATGACCATCAGAACTGGAGTTCGAGTCCTAGTGTTGACACTACAATATTTTTTCCTTTCCGTTCAACACGTGAAGAATTCCCTGTGTCCGGCACTCTCCAATGACCATTAACTTACGAAAAACCGAGCTTCTATGTCTAGTTGAAAATTATTACGTTTATAAAAAATGCTAGTTGTAAATGGTTAAAAAACCGTTTAGTTTTGTATCCATGGTTTTATAACGATATTTTTGTAAATGGTTATAATACCATAAAGGAAAAAATTTTCTTTTCCGTAAACTTTATGGTTAATCGGATGGACAGGCAGCTGCCAGTTATATTACCGTAATTTTAGAAGGAAAATTTTAACAGTGAAGTAATAAGTCTAATTGAGAAGGAAGAGAGATTATTTATCCCATTTAAAATATAATTTTTATGGCTTAAAAATAGATTTGTAGTAGAATATCCCTTGTTCTTGAGCACTTAAAAGTTTTAAATGTTTTTAGAATTAAAAAGGTTATAGGATTATCTTTAATGAGTTTAGGCTTACCTTTATTTCAGAATGTATGATGACTCTTCCAGAATATTCCTGAAAATAATATTTAATAAACAATTTTTTTAGTATATTAAGTAGCAATTGATTTATAAAGAGGAAAACTTATTCTAACTAATGCATATTTTTTTATTTTTTTAAAGCAAATTTACAGTAGAATAACCCTTATTGAAAAATAATAAGCCTATATTGACGAAAAAAATCAAAGATCGTTCAATATATTTTCTCAGTGAAATTTAATAAAAATTCTTTCCTTTAAATATGATTTGAGAAAAGGAAAACTTTAGAAGGAAAACTTTATAATTCCTTCCATTTGAAGCTCTAGTTTTGCAGCTTTTGAATTTCTAGATTAAATCGAAAATAAAACAAAAGTATTTTTTATACATTTAATATAAGTCACAATAAAGTCGCAGTCCAGTATTTTATATATACAAATAAAAATAAATGTTTTTTGAATGTGTTTATTTCTAATTTGAACTGCCTTATTTTGAGTTAAATAAATTTAAAAAGGTTTTATTGATAAAATCAAGACATGGTACATTTAATCAGAAAAAAGTTTTTCAACGTGTCTTGTTTTATCTACATTAATTATCTGAAAAAAAAATGAATTAGTAGCAAGGCTTTTAATGTATTTGTAGGTTGAAATTTGGTGAACAAATCTAAGTTAATAGAGAAAAAAATGGTGAAAATGATTCGGAAAGTATTAATGCAATTAGATAGATTGCAGTAAATTTGTAAATGTTTTCGATTTGAGAAATAAAAAAAAATAAAACTACAGCAGAGTAATATGTTACAATTCATTGAGAAAGTTCGTAGCAATTATTATAAACTGGAATCTGTAGTATCTTTTTGCTTTGTTATCCAAAAGCAAATGAAAATTGCCAAATCAGAACTGCTTATTTATAGGAACTGCATACACTTTTTGCAGATCACTTAATGTATAATGTAGTGTTTTCCCTCAAGTAACGCTTTGTAGTAATGTAAATATAAATAAAATAATAATACAAATAAAATAATAACATAATAATAAATAAAATAATAACATAATAATAAATAAAATAATGCATGAAATAATAATTAACTTTTCGTTAGAACTCGCTTAAGAAAACAAACTTTCCTAAAAACATTTTCTCATACTTTTAGTCATTAGTATTTCTCAGAAAAAAAATTTGTGTTTGAAAAACTATTGACATTATTCTACATTTTGCTTCATTTATTATACCTATCTTTTGTGGAATACAAAACAGTAGTTGAAGCGGTTTAGCTTCTAAAGTTTGGCCTTCCCTTTAGAAATAAAACTTTAAAAGTTGACGATACAGTAAGAAAAATACTTGGAAAATATCCTAGAAAAGACGATAATTGAGCACTTTTCAAATGTATATAAATACAAAATGATTATTATGAAATATTAATACAAACATAATCGTTACAAAAAATCTCAACTTAAGTAAAATCGTCAAAATTTTATATAAAGGTAAAATTGCAAATTTTGCAAGATTTCGCAACAGTGAAAAAATAAAACTGATAAATAACTACTCCTAAATTGTTATTCAGAGCAATTATTTACATGAGCAACAATTCATGTAATATAGTCTACATTATTTTAATAAAACGCACGAATAAATCATGAAACAATTATTCAATGGTTTCCATAAAAATTTTTTTTATAAAATACACTTTGATAGTATTTCGCACTTGTACGTTGAAATGTTCATTTCTGGAATTTTTTACAGTGTGGTACTTTCCTTAAACCTTTAAAAGTTTCTATCAGCTTTTCGTTGAAGACGTAAATAAAAAATGACCATGTAAAGCAACCAAGTTAAAAGTGATTATTCGAACTTTAGAAGCCTGTAAAATAAATTTACTCCATCACTTAAACTAGAATTTCAACTATTAACTCAGTTAACCCTCGTAATCCTAGAATTGAAATGAACCATCTTAATTTGAGTTATTTCAAAATAACGTAAGAAACGATTTATAATTTTCTTGAGTATTATTTAATGATTTTAGAAAGAGAAACTTATTTTATTTGTTTCTGCTACTGAGGAATAAATTCTGCCATTTTAGAAATTTAGTTTTAGTTTAGTTTTAAAAGCATGTTAAGGATTTTTGCTTCAGTATATTTTGTAGCAACTATTTTTGCGTTGTAAGGAAATCAAAGTGTTCCTAAATGCACCAACCCACAACGACTTGCATTATTCATAAACAAAGACGAAAATACTTTCAGTTTTATTAACGGGTTTAATTTAAAGCATGGGATAATTACTGATATTAATTATACCATCATTTGGCATTAAGATCATTAATTCTTTCGGCATATATTCGATATATTAGCGGTCAAATTCATTGATTTAAATCGATATCCCATAGCTCTATTTTGTTTTTAAAAATTTATGTATATTCAGATGCGCAGTAAGTAAATTCTTTCCAAAACGAGACTTTCCAAACGATAAATTCCTTCCACCCACCCCATAACTTCTAAAAATTTGTGATTGGGGGCGCTCGTGTCTCCTCTAAAACTACTCTTCAGTTTTCTTCGATCTCACCTGGCGACAAGGCTGTTCAAGAGCATAACGGTGTCTAGACTTCATCGGGCATTACCACCCCCAACTATCTCCCCTCAATTCTGTTCTCTCCACGTTGGCGCACTTCATTGGCGAACAGGTGCATGTCGAAGAAAGCTTAGTATGCTGTAAAATATTTAAGGTACGAAAAATAAACTTTTTTAGTGTTACTAATTTTTATTCAAACATTTATAAGATAAAATCTATTAATTTATTTTAATAATTTATAATTGAAATTAAGAATTTTCAAATTTAATAATTTTTTAAGAAATTATTTTTAAATGTGTTTAAGATTTCAGAAAATAAAAATTTATTATTGTCATTATGTTTTACTTAATAAGATAGTGGATATAAGGTTAATTAAATGAACTTACTTGCTGTAAAATTCGAAACATTTACGAAAAAGGGAGGTAATTATTCTAAATTATTGTAGGGGCAGAGTAATTATTCTAAAATATTGCACATTTAAGTTAACGGCAAGTTGCACACCATTAAGTCGCACGCAAGTTAAATTCAATAACTAGAGCAAATTAAAAATTTATCAGGAACAGCAACAACAAAAAAACCTCGAACAAGTATCTTGTTTTATTTAACTTGCGATAGTTTGACATATTTTACCGTGATTTCACGTGATATGATTCTCTGTTTTTATCAAATTTTCCGAGAGCGAGTTTTTTTCCATAAATATATATATATAACTGTTAAGTCAANTATCTATATATATATATATATATATATCTTACTATTATATGTTAGGTTTTCAGCTTTATCAATTCCAGTTTGATTCTTAATTTAAAGAATAGAGAGAGACAAAAACGGAAAAAAAATAAATTCTTAATTTATGCATAAACATTAAACATAAATTTAAGTTCATTAAAGTATAAATCTTGAATTAATTTTATTGAACTAATTTGTGCAAGTATGAACACAGAGATATTTTTAATCAGTTACACAAAATAATTTTTTCAAGATTGTGCATCTTATTATTTTACCTGATTATTTAGGTATTCATATCTATATCATATAAATATTTATTTCCTACAATATTTTTAGTTTGATTTATTTACTTCTTCATTTCTGTAATGCATATTCTGAATTTCTAAACATAATTTTTAATAAGAAAACTAAGAACAAATATCCTGAATGCATTTATATTTTGCATTCAAATAAGACTCTTTCTCCGAACAAAAGGAAAACGCTAAAAAAATTGTAATATTACGCCTAATGGTACAAACAGCGCATGCATATTACTTTTATTCAGAAAAATTCATTTCCAGTCTAATCTTTCACGTTTCTATCAACTCAAATATATAGAGATGATATTTAATACTCTCGCTCTCAAAATAACTGGCTATATGATATCTAATTTCATTGTAATTGATACATGGCATTGATGAGTTAGGTTAAACTTGTGACAAAGTGAATTAAACTATATAAAGTAAAATATATTACAGGTTGATTTTCCCCATGTAATAAATAACCGGGTTCTTATTCATAATATTTCATTTATATTGTATTACATTATATTTAAAAACTAACTGTTTTGACAGGCAGTAAAAACATGATTAATGTTAGTGAATAATGTTATTAGGGAATAATGTTATTATAGTTGTATTTTAATAAAAATCGAGTTGTACAAATAAGAGTAGTATAATAAGATATTTTCTTGATATTGATTACGCTAAAATCTTACTTTATTAGTTAGTTTTACGTGATAAAAATAAATTTTTAATTTTAGATATAGTTTAGTTGAGTAATAGTTAGCATTTGATAGTTAAAGTTCATTGATTTTAAGGTAATCAGCAGTGTATTGCCTAGATTCAATGTTAATAAAATACGAAATTTTGAAATAATTATATTGTATTTTTAGCTACCGACTTCACGCTAATTGGGGTCGAAATCGATTAAGAAGTTAAATTTTAATTTTAAATATAGGAATGTAGTTTAATTCAATAATATTAATTAATATAATTGTTAAAGTTCATTGATTGCCAAAGAATATGAGGTAATGCACATTGTACTGCCTAGATTTGAAATTCGACTAACGATTTCGATAAAATGCGAAATTTACAAATATTCATAATTTTATTTTAGTTATTAATTGCCAGTCATATTTTAAATGCCAATTTGAAATTTATTTAGAAGTGGGATTATGTTGCATTCGTAAAAAATAAAGCGTTTTTAATAGGGGACAGCATTGTCCAGAACGAAGTTTTTATAAAAAGTTTTCTTAAATTGTATCTTGTTATTCCTTGTAACTTTTTATATGGAAGGATATTAAAAAAATTCAATAAGTTAATTTTGGTCAATATCCTTATGTTATAGAAATAATTTTTTTGAGAATCTTTATCAACAAAATTCCGCCTTAAAAACGTTAAAAAAATCATTTGTCAGTATAATCTTAAAATAGGGATACCATAAGTATTTTTAATTTTCTTTCAATTATTTAAAATGATAATATTTTTTTAATAACTATCACAATACCAAAATTTTTTTATAATTATAGTTTATAAGTTTTAAAACTTTTCGATGACTAGTTATCGGGCGAAACTGACGCCACAGTTCAAAAATGCATAGATTCGAAGGATTCATATTGGATTTGTTAAGTTTTGCTTTAAGTTTTGAAGATGAACTATATTAAATACGTAACTCAACGTTGAACTATATTAAATATGTAACTCAACGTTTGACTTATAAAGAATTGAACATAATCTCGATGGTATACCTAAGCCACCTTAATACAAATGAACAATTTGCGGCCAATAATACTTGCTGAATACGGAATAATACATTCTATATGGGTCCGAAATTGCTATGTAAAATATTCATTAGCTATATTATTGTTCAGAAGTTGAAAATTCTTTTCAAACTTTAAAACATGTATCAAACATTTTCCAGTAACTGATGAGTGACAATTTGCTAAATTTCTTTTGGTACTAATATTAATACTGTTTGGGCCTTTCAAGTCAAATTTGTAATCAGAATAGGAGAAAAAGTTAAATTGGTTATATTTGTACACCATCATCAACGGTTAAGTATTAAATCATGGTAGCGTAAAGCAATAATGCTGAAAAGTTTTAAACGGTAATTTTATCAGCAACATTATGAGTTAGAATGTTAAATTTTACTTTGATTTTAATATTCTAACATTGCCCTGATTTTTATTTTATTTTAGTATAGTTTGGATTCCATATTAGTATTAGACGTGTTTTTTGAAGAAAAAAAAAGTTTATAAATTTTTAGTTATTTTGTAGATAATTTAATAAAAAATTTAAAATTTTATAAATTTAATCTACAATTTTGTAATTTTAAGTTGTATTTTTAATAAACAAAGTTGGTTCCATTCTCTGAAAGTTTTCCATTTTAATTTCTTCTATAGTTTTAAAATCATAGCTGTTACTTGTACAGGGTAACAGAAGCCATCAATTTTTCCCCACAAAACTAACAACTATTATAAACTGAGTAACTAACAACTATTATATAAAACTAACAACTAAATATTTTAACAAATATTTTCTGTCAAGTCTAGTGCGATGATTACATCTAGAACCAAACCTAGACTTCAAACCCAAAGGTATGTGTAAAATATATTTAAAAGAGTGAATTATTTTCAGTTTCACGAAATTGTTCAAAATCTGTTATTGGTTTCATTGTAACGAAACTTGATTTACACATATTTGGAAGTTTTAAATATCCTTTAAGAAACTGATTGCATTATGTTTAAATTTTAAACTATTTCTATTTTTACTTGACCTAGTAAATGACTTATTCTTAGAAACTTCATATTTATTGTGACAAATAATAGTATTCTTTTTCTGAGTCCATAACATTCTTTTCAATAAAATACATAACATTAAGCATGCTTTCTTCTGTATCTAAAAAAGACTGATTCTTATTTTTTTACTTTTTATGTTCGAGAAAATGTTAGTCTTAGCTTAAAATACTTTAATTTTATAAATCAGAAGGAGAAAAAGTGTCATTGGGTGCTTAAATTTTATTTTAATACTTAAAATTCAAGAAATAAAAAATGTAAAAATAAATCTATATATTTTTTACTTTTTTTTTGGTTTTAGTAAATAATGTATTGAGCTGTAAGTGTACAGGAATTTAATCCTCTTTATTAATCTTACACGAATTGACATAAGCCAAATATTTTATTTTTACTGCTTGCTTAAGCTACCCTATATATTATGGGATAGGAAGAGCAACTAAGTTATATTACTAATTAATCTTTAACACATATGTTTTAGAAACTTTCATGCTTGTAAAGTAAACATAAAGAGAAACTGTAAACCCAAGATTTACAACAATTAATATTTAAAATAAATGATCTTAAATTGTCGGAGGTTTTAAACGGGAAAATTGTCCAAATAACCTGCAAGAGTGATAGCCTGAAATTCTAGTGTCAACTATGTTTTATAGAAACAATGAGAAGAATTGTTTGGTAAACAAAAAGAAGTGCATTTATTCAATAAAAATTATATTGGTATTAACTTTATTTTAATTCAGAAATTCTTGTATATTCTGTTAATGATTCTCGTGCTTTTGATCAAAAAAGTAAGACAAATAAACATTAAACTTAATTTAATAAAAACGTCAAAAACGCGTTTTTATGCTGTCGATAAAATGTTAATTTATCTATTTGTATCGTAAATTTTTTGGAGCTAGTGGCATGATTTAGATGTTTTAAAACATTATGTCGTTTATGTTATTTATAATAATGTAATGTAAATCAATAAATGGGGACAAGTTGACTTTTTTAGAACTTCGGAGAAAGAGTTCGAAAGAATTTTCGAGCATATTTAGCATAAAAATTTTCAGAAATATGCTACAATGATTCTTTTAATTGGGGAGATATTTAACAAAGAACGCCATTTTGTAATACTACACATTTTGTTATTTGAACTCCTTACTTTGTTAATTACTATTATTGTTCTTCTAAAAGAAAAGCGGATATGTTTTTGCGCAATATGAATGCTTCTGTCTATAGATGATGTTATTTCAATGATTAAAGACATTTTTTAAAGTTTTGGGCAGATATAAATGAATATATGTTGCATTCGTAAAAAATAAAGCGTTTTTAATAGGGGACAGCATTGTCCAGAACGAAGTTTTTATAAAAAGTTTTCTTAAATTGTATCT